TGGTTTGGCAAAGCACGAATTCCTATTTAAGCACTCGCTGTCCACATGAGTTTGAGATTTAACAATGAAATACTTGTGTTGTTACAGCTCATGAGACATTTACTTGGAACACATCTTGGTCATAATGGAGTTCTCACCATGTGTTGTATCCTGGAAGACAGGTTAGATATAAACAAGGGGGGAGCTTTCTTATGTCATTTTTATGGGACAGAACTTGGTCAAATGGTTGTATTGTGGAAGACATATGGAACTTAAAAAGAAGTGGGACTTTCATATGATATCAATAAAATGATTAATTGATTGATTGATTAATTGATGATTAATTTATTGATTAATTAATTAATTGATGATTAATTGATTAATTGATGATTAATTTATTGATTAATTAATTATTTGATTAATTAATAATTTATTGATATACTTAATTTACTGTTTAATTAATTGATCGATTGATTAGTTGATTGATTGATTGATTAATTATTTGACTAATTACTATTAATAATAATTTATTAATTATTGATCGATTGATCAGTTGATTGATCAGTTAATGCAGATCAGTTAATGATTAATTGATTGTTTGACAAGTCTTATACAGTATTGATATTACAGAAATCTTCGTTTTTGTTGACAGCAACAACTGGTACAAATTTTCATTACTGAGAGGAGCAATATTCTTCGTGGGGATGTGTTTATGGGGGTCGAAGAGAGTGACCAGCCTGCTGCATAAACCTATCGCTGTCTTACCATCTTTCTATAAGGTATAGCTTACAATATCAGGCCTTAAAATATCGTTCAGAGAACCGTCTGACAAAGTGTTCGACGACTTTGAGGTCGCATGCACATATTTATTGTGATGTCCGATGACTTTGAGTTCAGTTTGGCTTGGAAATAAGTATGAATACAGACACAAATTAATATCAGCACAATTTGGAAAAGTCATTTGAATCTTGGCAATGAATTCCCGAAGACCCCACGGTGAAACCCCGCACTTGATTACACATTTGCAGTTCATATTTTATACATTACTCTGATGCTCCATTTAACATACGAGCCTCTAGTCCTGGACTAGGGTAGGACGTTGGACAAAGTTAAGCTAGGTCGGACACCAATTCACTCGGGTCGGGTAAACACTAAATCTCAGTTTGACTTAGGTCGGACAGAATGTCCAGTGGTTTCCTCTCTACGTCGGACAATGTCCGTGACCGACCGATATTTTAGCCTGAATATCAATCCTACACGAGTGAGTTTTTATAAAAGTTATTCTGGGGCAAACACAGGATCAATCTACCTGAAAAATATAACCAGAACTTCGACGTTTTCGAGCATAGGCCTTCGTTTGGATTTAGAACCCACTGACCAAGTGGCAACATGGATTTATCAACTGGGCGAGGGACCAATTTCTAGTTTGGGTTTTTATAGCCTCTCTGACCAGCTAGATATTCTTATTTTTCAAAATGTCTGACAAACATCAAATCTAAGATCCCACTCTAACTATGTAAGCTTGGCCTATGCATGGACCAATGGACCATACTAAGGACTTTTGCCACAGAGCAACGCCATAGCTCCCTTGACTCTGTGATTATGCATCCTGTCTAATCTATACTACAGTAGTTTCAGCCAACCTCAATGGCATCGCCCGCCAGCACTCCTATCAAGCTGGATCCATATATGGCCCTATTTGCCATGTTCTAGGTGTTGTCATGTGACAATGAAAGTGTGATTTGTGAAGTGACGCTGTCAATGCAAAGACTGGTGAAGAAATACGGCATGAAACAACATGACACTGCTTGGGAATCCATTCTCGATATTGCTTCAGCGCTACAAGAATATGTGGAGGTAAGGCCTAGACTTAATCTGCGTTGACTAACAAAAATTGCTTTGTACCAGCAAGTATTGCTTGGCAATAGCCAGCGTCCGCCAGCTTTTTGGGCAGCCTGCCTACCCTATCTGCTTACCTGCTTGCCTGCATGTCTACCTACCTAGCTGCCTTACCTACCTACCTGCCTACCCGCTTGCCAATCTGCCTGCCTGTCTACATACAGTACTGCCAAGAAATAACTTGTCCCCGCGTCTGCCCGCGTCCTGCCTCCAGAGCGCCCGCGTCTTGCGTCCACTCTGCCCGCGTCCTGCCTCCAGAGCGCCCGCGTCCGGCCTCCACGACGCCCGCGTCTTGCGTCTACTCTGCCCGCGTCCTGCCTCCAAAGCGCCCGCGTCCGGCCTCTAGTTAAAAACTGCGTCCCCTTGGACGCAGTCGTCGTAACATAATCGGAAAAACGAACTAATATTTGCATCATACTCGTAGTTTGTCGTGAGAATACAGATCAGTGTCACTGATCGGAGAAGCAAAGAATAAAAAGTTGAATCCGAAATCGAGTTTCATTGAACCTAAGCGTTACACTTAGTATAACCATTTTATAATGTTACACGTTATACTACAGTAAGCGTAGTGCTTTCACAATGCAATCACACGTACGTGAGTGGCGATTGAAGCGTATATGACTGTATATTTGAGCGCAAAATAGACATAAACTATATATAAATATAATAGTTTGTGTTGTTTTTCCAAAGCAGCAAATGCACATGGTGATATGTCATATAAATTGATAATTACCATATAATTTCTGGATAAATGACTTCTCTTAATCCCTTAATGGAATACCTTTACATGTCCAGGAAACAGTCTTTGTGTTTCAACACGGTTCAATGAGTGTGACTCATCGCTTGATTTTCAAAGTTGCAGTATAATTCGCTAAAGCTGAAGTGAAGAGCTCAGACAAATATCACTCGATTCGTATTACTATCAGACTAATAAAATGAGGTATCGATCGCTTACTTGTCAACATATTTTGGGTTTCTTCGAAGAAGATATAAAACCATACGTGCATTTTGCAAACCGGCAACGTTGAAAGATTACTGGGTTTAAACCAAACGTTATACGAAGGTACGAAAGTAGCGAGATCAAATACGAAAAGGAACTTTACGAAGCACAAATTCTGAAAATTCACGGTAAGTTTAATATTAGAAATATAAAAATCTAGGTCTGTAACGCTTGTGTATAAGCGTAAAAACGTGGCGTGAAATCGCTAACATGAATATTTTCCGACGCCCACGGTTTGTTTATGAAAAGCGAAACGCGATAATTTCCGACGATCTACGAATAGAACTCTTTCTCAGCTGCGTCCTCGCCCGCAGACGCAAAGCGGACGCATGGCGCCCGCCCAGTGGACGCACCCTCAAGCGCCCGCAGACGCACAGTGGACGCACGACGGACGCACGGCGCCCGCAGGACGGACGCACGGCGCCCGCAGGACGGACGCACCCGCGGGCGCCCGTGGACGCACAGTGGACGCAAGATACCCGCGTCTTGGACGCGGTTTTTGATAAGTTATTTCTTGGCAGTACTGTACATGTATCTACCTAACTACCTACTTATGCTCCGTTAGAGTCAGCCTTCTGTTTGATGTATATTTGCAGAGACATCCGTCCTGCACGTCTGTGTCAGAGAACTTCCATGTCCTGTTGTCGTACATCGAAGAACTACATGAGAAACACGAGTTTTATGGTTCTGCAGACAAACTGTTTGCTATTGTAGCAAAATGTACGAAGAAGAGACCGGTAAGCATGAATCTTTGGACCTTATATGCCATACCATATACCATACCCTATACCATACTTTTTCCATACCTTATACCATACCTTATATTATACCTTATAATGTATACCATACCGTATACCATGATCTGCATACTATATCATATACCATACCGTATGCCGTACCACGCCATACCATATCGATTATTTTCCATATGTGCAGACGCTAGGGGTTCACCCTTACTATCTTTCCCGCCTCCCTCCCCCAGCGCGTTCAGCACTATAGTCGTGAATTTTTAATAAAATAATAGCATAAAGAGATACAGTTGAATTTGTCAAACGTGTCTGAATAACTGCCAACAATTTGACCTCCCTCTGCCTTGATACATATTGGAGATGTTGTTGGATTAAGATGTAAATATTTTTCACTAAAGGAATCATCAGTGATTTTGTTAGTCTCACATCGTGCACAGTCACTTCATCCTTATTGCGACAACTGGTTTGAAAATATCAAGGATTTGGTGGACAGATATTTTAAGTATGATCTGTTATGATGGTTTTTGTCGTGATGTGTTCGTGTGTTGTGTTGTGTTGTGCTGTGTTGTGTTGTGTTGTGTTGTGTTGTGTTGTGTTGTGTTGTGTTGTGTTGTGTTGTGTTGTGTTGTGATGTGTCGTGTCCGTGAGTTGTGTTCGTGAGTCGTGTCTGTGAGTTGTGTTCGTGAGACGAGTTGTGTTCGTGTTCGTAAGTCGTGTTCGCGAGTCGTGTTCGCGAGTTGTGTTCGTGAGTTGTGTTCGTGAGTTGTGTTCGTGAGTCGTGTTCGTGAGTTGTGTTCGTGAGTTGTGTTCGTGTTCGTGAGTTGTGTTCGTATCGTGTTCCTGTGTTGTTTTGTGTTACTTGTGTTCAATAACACGATTTCAATGCCCTGATGGTATTTACATACAGTGCACATAGACGCCAAACCTATTTTTTGTGTGTTTAGATGTGAAGAAAGAACAGCCATAAGAATTAAAGTATTAGACGTACTTTGCAACATTCTAGGAACTTTCTCGCCGTTATATGAGGTTTGAAGTTTTGGTTTTCCAAGCAGGTAGCTAATTGCCTGTCCATTTGTTTTTTTGGTGCTCGACGTCATATCTTGTATATATAGCCAAACAGTGTTCGTGTTCTTTAATTCTGCATTCTAGTGTTCTTCCAGTTACTCCAAAATAACTAAGGGTGCCACACAGTTACAGTGTCCGGGTGTGGATTTACTTGATTATTTGCAGAAAATGTTCAATGCTCTCTTGTGGTCCCAGAAAGTAAAATATTTTTTCCATCCGTGATTCGAGATTTCCAAAACTCAGGTGATGAGTTTTAGGCGGGTTTACATAACCCGCAAGCGGATAATAGAACTTGCCGGGCAACCTCGTTCCCAGGCTCTTCCCTCTTGTTTATAGAACTTGCTTTATGTTTCACTCTAGGAAGAGATCCTTGAGAACTCAGTGTTACCATATTTAGACCACATTGCTAAAGATCGAGATATTGCCGTGCGTATTAGAGCTGTTCAGCTGCTGGTCGATGTTATTGAGGGCTCAGATTCACAGAAAGTTTGCGACGTTTTGAATATTATTGAGAAGGTATGATAATTCTGGCATCAACTATTTCGCTGACCTCAGAATGAGATATCGTCAAAACGTTTTTCTTCGAGATTGGTTTAGAAACAAATTTGGAGTAGGGTTAGGTTAGGGTAAGGATTAGGATTAGGGTTAGAATTGGTGTTCGGAGTAGAGTTAGTGTTAGTAAAACCGTTGCTTTGTTACGTTTTGTCACTCTGAGGCCAGCGAAATAATCTCTTCCGATAATTGTCATCGTTGCCTTATTGTCATAGAATAAGAAATGAATAGAAGGGCAACTCGCGTGTACAACGCGTAACCAATTTCAGTGCGCACGCGCGGGATCTCTCAAGCTCGCAGCCAGTAAAGCCAGTCAGTGCAATAGGGATTTGTATTACGAAATGTACATTTTGATCACAAAATCGACTATTTTTCGGAAACAAAGGATTGGAATATCAAACTACTACAACTGCCTGCAGAGGCAATGTAAGCCTAAATTATTATTGTGGCTAGCATAGAAAGAAACGAATATTTAGGGAGAAATTTGATATTGTTGTGTGAGCTACAATCTGAAATGCTGACAGCCCATCGCGGGGTACATCCTCGGGTAGAAGAATTTGCATCACAGACTACGTCATCAGTTAGTTATAGCGATTAGTTTTGAGGTTAGGGTAAGGGTTAGGGTAAGGGTTAGGGTGAGGGTTAGGGTAAGGATTAGGCTTAGAGATAGGGATTTGGTTATATCTGACGCCACAAACAACACAACTAGCCGATCACGTGATCACTTCTCCTCTACCCGAGGAACTACCCCAATCGCGTATACTGTGTTATTTATTTCGATTTTCGAGGTTTATGTCAAATCTTATCAGGACAGGTTTTGGATTGCATCAAATTTTATTTAAAAAAGTATAAATTTCAAAGTCGCGAGCAATTAATCAAATTTATTTCGTGTGGGAAGTTGTCTGTCTGTGACTGACATGTTGAACTACAAATACAAACAATATCAGAAAATGATGTTATTTATTTATGTAATTAAAATATCATGATTATGAATTAACATTCATTCCTATTACTACAATATTACTTCGAAGACATCGAATTTTTCCAATAAATAAACCAAACTATCATATGTTAATATACTGTACTTTATACTTTGTAAGTAAACAACATGTACTAATACGTTTAAATTTCGCATTTAGCAATGGGCGTTGTGAAAACCCGGAATGCCGGAATATCACGGAATATGGCGGAATATCACGGAATATGCCGGAATATCACGGAATATGCCGGAATATCACGGAATATGGCGGAATATCACGACATTTTCCCGGAATATACCGGAACATGACAATATTTTCCGATGGTAGCCATGCGACTGTTTATAAACATGGACGTCTGACAACATATTTTATTACAAAAGTGATGGATCTTTCACATTTTGACGGTAACAAACAATAACTCTATACTGGAAGTTTTATATGTTGTTTATATTACTTTTACGAGTGTTGTCCAAAAATGTTTTAAAATGTTAAAAACATTAAGTTTGGTGATCTTGAATTATGCTTAATTGATTTTCCTAGTTAGTTTTTTCAATTAACAGGGCTGAAATGCGCCTTAAAAACCATCGTTCAACAGGCTGAACTGTGCCTTTAAGGCCCGTTTATTGCAATTTTTGCTGCGATTTCTACAGCGATTCAGTGGCGGAAATTCACTTTTTCCGGGGGGGGGCAAAGCCTCCTAAATTTCCGACAAAACTTTCAAATTTCCGACGTACCCCCCCCCCATTTGCACTCGAAAAGACTGTTTTTAGCCCTCTTTTAGGTCAAAATTTCCGAAAATTCGTCAATTTTCCGTGAAGGTGGGGGGCGGCCGCGCCCCACCATGATTTCCGCCACTGCAGCGATTTCCTCCTTCTAATGCATGTAAACAAGTAGATGAGTTACGAATGTTCGGAGTACATGTACCCTCATCAGAGCATTCATAACTCATCCACTCGTTCACATGCATCAGGAGAAGAAAATCGCACCTAAAATCGCAGCAAAAATTGCAAGTGTGAACGAGCCTTTCATAAGGTCTGTTTACACTTGCAATTTTTGCTGCGATTTCTAGTGCAATTTTCTTCTTCTGATGGATGTGAATGAGTAGATGAGTTAGGAATGTTTTGAGTATGTGTACCCTCATCTGAACATTTATAATACATTTACTCGTTCACATGCGTCAGAAGAAGAAAATCGCACTAGAAATCGCAGCAAAAATTGCAAGTGTAAACATGCCTATAGACAAAATTTAGTTAAAAATTATTGGTTAAGGTTTAATAAGACGGGACTTCTTAATACCCGAACAACTGGCTCAAAGTTGCCTTAATTTTAGCTTTTGATTTTTGGATAAATGCTTGGTGGTATAAAATGGTCAATTTTAACTAAATTTTGTGTATAACACAGTTCTGAAGGCGTTCGAAAATAATGCTGACGTCAGCACTTTTGCTTTTCAAGACGCTGTAACTCAGGAGCAAATCATATTTGCTCAAAATTTTTGGTGAACACTCGTAATAATAATATAAACAACATATAAAAATTCCAGTATAGAGTTATTGTTTGTTACTTACCGTCAAAATGGGAAAGATCCATCACTTTTGTAATAAAATATGTTTGTCAGACGTCCATGTTTATAAACAGTCGCATGGCTACCATCTGAAAATATTGTGATGTTCCGGTATATTCCGGGAAAATGTTGTGATATTCCGTGATATTCCGCCATATTCCGTGATATTCCGCCATATTCCGTGATATTCCGCCATATTCCGGCATTCCGGGTTTTCACAACGCCCTTTAGCAATTCTGTAACAGCTCATAACCAACAGAAATGTATTCGCTAACCTTCAAATTACAACCAGCGGCCGTGGTTTGTAATTTGAATCGTTCGTTTGCGAAAAATAGTCGATTTATTCAGCCAAATGGCCATTCTGCAATACAAATCTCTAATAAATTGACTGGCTTTACTGGCTGCGAGTAATTAGAGCGGGCAATTTCCAGTATGCGCGAGGCGACATGCGCGGCTTCAAAAACTTCAAAGGTTCCGACTCAAGTTGCCCTTCTATTCATTTCTTATTCTATGTTATTGTTATATGCTCGTGTTTCCACATTTCGTATTTCCTTTTCATATCAACGTTATGACGTCACTCCGTTTAATAGGATGTCGGAACTCCATATTTGGTCAGCTACGGAGTTTGTATGACGATTTTACGGTTGGCTGTTAGCCAATCAGAAACCATGAATTCTTTGAAATCAATATATATTTATCCTTTCCAGATAGCTCGCTGTCCAGTAGATCCTCTTAAACGTTACGTCAGACCATCGCAACATGGTTCAAGTAAGGAGCAGGTTGGTATAGTGCATGTGTAATTCATGAGTAGTTTAGTCAACCATATTGCTTTATTTTGCTCGCATGATAATACTGGATACCTGGTGAAGTATATTGATCAAGTCCTAGGACTGCATCAAAATTAATTCAGTCCTTGGACTCACTGGATCAAAATTCACTTCACTTTAAGTAGTGATTTAAGCCCTGGGCAAAGTAGGAAACATTGTTGCGGAAACATTTGTGATTCTCGATGTTTCCTCAAATGTTTCCATGTTTGTCCACCCGTGGAAACATTGTTGCGGAAACAAAACTTGCTTCCCGGGAAGCAAAAATGTTTCCTAGCGAATTCAGAAACATTTGATGTTTCCCTATGTTTCTCACTAATGTTTCCTAGTGTTTGCCCACCCTGCGAAACATGGCGAAACATTGGTAGGAGACAATGTTTCCGCAACAATGTTTCCTAGATTGCCCAGGGCTTTATTCGTATGAGATGTCATTTCAAATCTTCCATTTCGGACTGGACTAGATTTCAAATGCTCGCATTTTGACCCAGTCCTCGGCTTCACCTCGGATTGGATCAAATTGCGCGGACTTGAAATCTAGTCCAATCCTCATAGTCGGATATGAAATATTACTTCAAAAACTCATTAATAATTCATGAGGAAAACACAAAGAGAAATCATAAGCATGGCGTGTCTTTATATGTGATAAAACACGCTTCAAATTTCAACTTGTATTTTCTCAGCTAATACAAAGTTATTTTGGAAAATTATTTCGCCAATGCCGTGATCTGAGACGTTTTTGAAGCTGTTTAATAAACTCTCCTACTCGTTTATTAAACAGTACGTCACAATCTATCATTCACTCAAAATATCACACCATCATTCAATTAATCAATTTTAATAATTACTCCATTAATGAACCAAAAAAATATTTTATATATTGTTTAATTCCATGAGTTGTTCCAATCCTTATAGCCTCAAGATGAGAAAGTGTTAAGAGACATTAAAGAGGCTGTCTTAGGATTAGTTCGCTTGTTCAAGGTATGTACTTTTTAGTTTTAACAAATCAGTCACTCGAAGATTGGATAGGCTTCTATCAGAGTAGAATGCTACTCACAATGATGCTTTTGAGATTAGAGTTAAAGAGTATGGGCAACAGAATTAGGTATGCATGTTTACACTGAAAGACCTCTTTATGCTGTAGAATTAGTCATCTTACAAAATTTTTATAATCTTTCTTTGGTTAGAAGATATTTCATTTTATTTGAAATGTAAATAAGATGATGTAACAAGCCGGATAAACTATTTGACAGTCCACAGAACTCTAAAAACATCACATTTTGTATGCAGATTAGTCACTACTTAAATGTTATAATCTGTTTTGAACAGTGAGCTTTTTAGGACTTTGGCGTGACCTCCTCTTTGAAAATATTTTACCAGGTTGTGACGTACAGTAATAGATTTGTTTCATTTGCGTATTAAACAACCGAAAATATCTCAAGAACGGAAATTTGTGAAATGATTTATTTTACATTTTAACGAGTTCTTTCTGTATAAACAGACTTGAATTTCATTGCCCATACAGTACCCTTTAAGTTTAAGTACTGTATTGTCTATATTCTTGGAAGTTACAGTACATGTGTCCCCGATTAGTGAAACCTTTGGTTTTGCTATAAGACATGACACTTTAATAAAGTTATCATGATCACCGTTCTATTTCCTGCAGGTAAAGCTGCTCCGTAAACCTCAAGAACATGCAGAACGTATCTTCGGTATCTTAGTTTCTCATATAAAAGCTCATTATGACAATGGATATAGAACGTACATTGCATCACAAATACGGCTGGCGGTGAGTGGCTTTTACTTGTATTTATACCTGCTCCTATCGTTTCATTATCGTAATCGATCAATAGGCAATTCCAGCTATAGACTTTCGGCTCAAATGTGTCGCTTTTCCTGCGCGTAATACAAATTAATACAAAATTTGCAAATTTCGCAGTGCTATATTTTCCTCATTTTACAACATTTCGCAACCAAACTTTGCAACTTTACTAATTTAAGATCGAGCTTTGGTGATGGATTTTGTTCTTCTTGCCTAGATCAAAATGTTTTTGTATGTTACGTTGTAACACGCTCTCAAAATTAATGAGTATAATATACCAGTTGCGTTTATGACTATCATCCAAAATTTTTATTTTTTGATACGTTTCGGCAACCAAACTTAAAAAGTTTGTTTAGTGCTTTATCTGTAAAGTAATGCTAAAATGAAGAGATTTAGATGGTACGCCAAAGAGAAAATGTTGTCTGAAGTTCAGTAAGTTTTGCTTATATTACTGTAAATTTATGCCGTCACTTTTAAAGCATCAATGATAATTGCATTTTAATTGACAAGTTTTTACTATTATTTTATGGTCAATTTACAAATGCCAAAAAAGTGTACTATTCGGGGCTACTATAGGGGCGATCTGGGGTTTCAGATTGGCTAAAAATGCATTTGCCATACAATATTCTACAGTCTATATGCATGTATACACTATCGCACTATTAAGATGGATGCAGTTATAATAGGCAATTCCAGCTTTTAGTTCATGCGTGCAGGGGGTGATGGGAAGTAAGGTATCATATTGCTGATTATGCTGAAAAAATAAAAATGGCGGCCGTGCTAACACGGAGTGATAGCTTATACTTGTAAATATTGAAATATTTCGGTTGTTTCGGCAGTTTTTATTGAAATTTTTCAGCATAATCAGCAATATGATACCTTTCTTCCCATCGCCCCCTGCGCGCATAAATTAAAAGCTGGAATTGCCTATTGCATTTCTGAGGTCATATAACTACGGTACAGGTCACATTCTTTTTATTGGTTAGAATATTTCCTCTGAATTTCTTCTTTTATCTAAATTTTTACAATTATCTTTTTTTCTTTCTTGGGGAAATATTTTCTGGGAACACAAGAAATTTTCTGGGACCAATGGTCCCGTGGTCTGATACTTTTTCCAACCTGTATGAGCCATTGATCACACTTGCTTTTTGTTTTCCCACAGATTCTGAAATGTTTTCTAAGTTTACGAGCTGACAGTGGTCAACGTTTAGGCATGGTGCAAGAGAACAATGGTGAAGTAAAGTTCAGTTCATATTTTGCTTGCAGCGACCGAAAAAGGTATGTTGATCTCAAAATAAAACCGACCTCACAATAAAACTGGATTGATATACATTGCGTAAAAAATGCCGCTAGTATATAAAGCAATTCTAGTATAAAGCAATTCTGCGTCCGAATGCGCCCTAGCTACTGGATTATTTTACTCTGTTGGTTTTACTTTTTACTGCCGGTTTTACTTGTCAAGAGAAGAACGCTGGCGCTCAATGGGTTATCTTGTCAAAAGTGGTTTAAAAAAGATGACTTTTAAGCCTGTTTTCCATTCATCGTAAGAGTGAACTAGCAAGGTCGCTGGGAGTGCTATCCAGGGGCGTCGAAGCGGCTCTAGAAGTGGGTGGGGGGGCACACCTACCACACTAGGGGGTCCGGGGCATTGCCCCCGGAAACATTTTAAAACTAGAGTCTCTGAAATGCCATTTCCTGCACTTTAGAAGGAGATTTACAATGTTCTAGAGGTAACAAAATATCATAAAATATCTCAAATTGTTTTGTCTACACGCGTAATTGAAATATTATCATTTAACTTTGTGGTTTATTATTGACCATTGTTAAAAAGTGTGTGGGGGGGGGGAGGGCAAAGACATTAGGCCCCACTTCCGACGCCCCTGGTGCTATCATCCAATCACAATGCTCGACACTCACAGCGGGCGTTTGCGAGTTGACTTCTGCGATGAGTGGAGAAAAGTCCTTGCTGGATGTCTGAAGAGAACAGTTATGGAAGGAGCAGCTATCACATGTGCAAACTGTATATCTCATTATTGTAGCTCCTCGGAAGATAAAACGTCTGGGCTCGTTTCTCTGCCATACAGCGAAGCTATGAACGTCATTTTAATGTGTTTACAACAGGTAAATACCACTTAATTAACCATATTTTATTATTTTAATACCTATAGGCCCGTTTACACTTGGGCCAAAAAAAAATATGTGGGTTTTCGGTTTCTTCTTATAAAAACTTCGGTAGGGTAGGTCGGTTTTAACTTTTTTTTTAAACTTTTTTTAATTTTCCGAACAAGCGGACGCCATTTTGTTTAGTCAGTGCTTTCACATCCAAAGATAAATTTCCCTAACATTGCCTCAAATTTAAATTTTCCACAAACTTTTTCCTCTAAGTGGAAACACTTACAAGCATGATCCAATAAAAAAGTTTAGGGTCGGGATTTCGATGTCCAAAAGCTAGGTAGGGTCGGGAAACCGGAAACCCACATATTTTTTTTTTGGCCTTGCAATTTTTGCTGCGAGTTTAGGTGCGAGTTTCTTCTGGTGGATGTGAAAGAGTAAATAAGTTATGAATGCTCTGAGTACACGTACCCTCATCTAAACATTCCTAACTCATCCACTCGTTCACATACATCAGGAGAAGAAAATCGCAGCAAAAATTACAAGTGTAAACAGGCATTTAGAGTCAAGGCGTGTAATGAAATTAATCATTCCATCGTGTATGTAGTTTTTGCTCAAAATTTTCATCCACGATATTTTAACCTGCATGACTACTATTTGCTCGCGATGTGCCCCACTGCGCCCCCACTGGCGATTTTACTTTTTCACAGAAAACTGTTTAGCCTGTTTAAGCAGCTATGTACCCTGCCTTTGGCAGTTTACTTTGCCAGACGAGTCCTCCCATGACTATCTACATATTAATGTCTACCTTGTGGTGCAGGGGCCAGTTGTTCCAAGCTGGGTTAGCTTAACCCTAGGTTAACCTAAAATTCAAAGCACACTTCCTGACAGCATGTCTATAAATTTGGAAATATTTCTTCAGAGATCTTGTCTGTATCGATGGGAGTTTACTTCTCTGAAGTTTTGAAATAAACAGGCGTGCAGAAATACACAAACTAAAACAACAGGTTACATTTTAACCCAGGGTTAGCGCTAACCAACCTTTGAACAACCGGCCCCAGGGCTTTTATAATCTTTTTGAAGGGGCTGTGTCACGGCGCCGATTGGCTGAAATCAACGAGGACTTTGATTGGCTAATCGTATAGTGATTATATATGCATGAGACAAAGACATTTGAGACAAAGACCTCAAAGGCATTTGCCCTCGCTGGTTAATATTTTGCCTGTACAAAACAGCGAAATATACAAACAAAAAGTGAACAGTGAATATCACATGATTGAATTGTATCGTCCAGTGACTCTTAACGCAAAGGATTGCCAAGATTTCTGAAGGACTACAAACGATATTGTGTGACTTGAAAAAAAGATGGCAATCCACTTCTCAAGTTCGGAATGCGCAGTAGCATCGTGACACAGCCCCTTTAAGTAAGCGGCTGTGATGAGAAGATAGGTGGCTGCCCCCAATGCAGGAATATTTTTACCAAATCCGTCCATGAAACTACATAATTCTCCATTTTTAAGTAGCCGAATGCCGCAAAACCGTGACTGTAAAGTATATGCCGAAAACAGTCGCATACTTTATAGCGACAAACCGTGGCTATATAAGATATGCCGAAAATAGGCAGCGGTAAACCTCGTAACACTCGCTGGTTTGTTTTGAAAGCCCTGTATACACGCGTAAAAATTATGAGCCCGGTGTTTAACAGGATTGAACAATGTTTTGCTGTCCACGTTGTTCACACTTACTGTATCAACAATATTGAACAATATTGTTGAGCCTGAATCGGGTGTAACAATATTGTTCAATATTGTTGATAACTGTGAACAATGTGGGCAGCAAAACATTGTTAAATCCTGTTTTCATCTGTATTGCAACAACCTGATCGTTTTTAGCCGTTTCGTGGGTAAGTTTCGAAAGTAAAATTATGATGCAGGTTTTATGTTTGACATTCTTCAGGAGTTGGAATGGGAAGTATTGGATGTTGTATTGACAATCATTCCAGAAACACTTGAGGATAAAAATTTGATTCTCTCTGGAAAACAATACTTGAACTCAATATGTACGGTATTATCGAAAATGGTAAGTGTTTCTGCATCGCAGTATGACATTTTCCCATAGAAATGTTAGACCTAGAATGCGTGCTTGATCATGTGACCGGTGTCAAAATTGAAAACAAAATTGCCCTTATAAGTCGGCCATGTTGGATTTGTCCGAGGAGCGGTCTATAGCGATTTGTCATGGGGCGAGTTTAATTTGCCCTTATAATATCGGCCATTTTGTATATGAAATGAAATTTCTTATTTTCTTAAATGAAAGAACTCTTTAAGCTGTAGTGTAACTTATTTTTCAGTTTCTTGTTTTTATGGTTTGTTCCCGAGATATTTCAATTTGTTTGATATGTAAATGAGTGTGAATATGTCCGCTAATTTATGACGTCGTGTTGGTTGCAAGCTCTTCAAAATGGTTGAATATCACTGCTATCATCCAAGATGATAATTTCAAACTTCACTCACTGGGAAAGGTGATGAAACACTGGAGAAGAACATGAACTGATATCAACAGTTTTTAGAGTTAATACATTTATAACCTGTGTAAGTTGAGCTTGCAACCAACATGACGTCCTAAATTAGCGGACATATTCACACTCATTTACTTATCAAACAAATTGAAATATCTCGGAAACAAACCATAAAAACAAGAAACTGGAAAATAGCTTACACTACAACTTAAAGAGTTATTTCCTTTAAGAAAATAAGAAATTTCATGTCATATGCACTTTAACTGAGAGAGGACAGGAGCACGCATTCTAAGTCTAATATTTCTATGCATTTTGGCCACGTGTTGCTGAATACACAATTCATTACATGGCGCTCAAATAGTCTTTTAATTTTTCTCTTAGGTTTCAAATTATGATTTCCTTCCTGGATTATTTCGCGTTCCTCATGATATGCGTCGTCCTCATTTGTATGCAAGAATTTTTCCGGTATGTGTCTAGTGCATTGATCTCAAACGTAGAACTGGACAGACCACCAATTTATGAAGCCAGAATTTTATAATGAGAAATCGAATATACTTACCTGTTGAAATTAGTTTTATTGTGAAGCGGCAATGGAGGTGTTAATGTGGTTAAATGTATATTTAAGCAAGGTTAACGGCTGATGTATCACGCCTAACAACGTTAGAGGGGAGTCTCTGACGTCACGTAAGTTCACGGGCATTCGCCGACTGCTTAAGGCTAGTTTCCACTCAGGAAAATTATCCGTGGATTGGAACGGACAAGAAAATTTTTCTTTGTGTTAAAGTCATTAGTTCCAACCCAGAGCTCACAAGACAAAGAAAACTTTTCTTGTCCGTTCCAATCCACGGATAATTTTCCTGAGAGTGGAAAATAGCCTTTACTGCATGTGTATTGTTCTTCCTTAAACTTCGCCATTTTCCCACCCCACACCCATTTATTTTTTATTTTATTAGTACTCGTGGGATTCGATTTATAGAGGTTCTAGAAATGATATTCTTTTTCCACTGAATTCAATGTGACTGGTACCGGAGGTCTGCCTTGGCAGATTTGTCATGACAAACTCCTATTGCTACTATAATTAGCCGTATGTTATTATGTTTGTGGCTCTTTTTGACATTGTGTTTTGCCACCATTGCTATTGACCACCAACTATGCTGTTAACCAGGGTATATGGTTGAATTAAACAGATTACGTTAGGTGTATTATTTACTAATTAATGAAATACAGCTCTTTGTAGGCATCTGGTTGCGAATATACATGTAGCTAATTCAAAAAAGGTTGTCCTTTGCAAACCTTGAACTCCAAACCTTAAACCTTAAACGTGCTTAAGGTTACAGAACACGTTTGAGTGTCAATTTTGTCTAAATTTTTTTTATGGGTTTCCATGAAAGCATTAGACTGGTTCTACTATCTGACCAAGTTTGAACGAAAAATGTTGAAAACTCGCAGAGTTATTTAATAAAATACATTTCGCTGTAATAAGAAAAACATTGAAAATGTAATATTCAAATTCAATTTTCTCCCGAAGAATTTTACGGCAATTACTGATTTTTAAACGAGTTGTGCTCCTGCGGGTTTTAACCAATTGTTCTCAAATTTTCACAGGACATAGCTACAGACATCAGTTTCAAAATGGTGTTTGGTTTTGTTCTAATTTTGGATATTTTAATAATAAGGAGCAATTCACTCAAATGATTCAGAAATATATTGCAGTGGTCAAAGAAATTGCCATATCAGCGGAATGACGAAATAAACAAAACTTTCCGAACACAATTTTTTAGAACAACTATTTTACTGTATAAAAATTATATTTTCATAAATATATCTTAAAACCAGCAGGAACATAACTCAAAAGCGTAAAGGTACCGCGATTTAAGATTTTCCTGAATAATTCTTATATTATTTCATTGTTTGTCAATTTTACAACTTTACCATATTTAGCATGCACTGGAGAACATTTGGTGAAGATTTGATGAAAATCGGACTGATATTGAGCGCGCAGTAGCGATTTTCCGCAAAACGCCCAAAAGGGTGTCCTGTAACCTTAAACGTGCAAAGCACAATGGGAGCATCATTTAATCAGTTGAGAAATCATATTTGGGGCTCATTTCTTAGAGACATGGCAAATATCTCCTTACGAGAACAATTCATTCACAAATAGCTGCAATATTCAACTACTGAGCTTGAAATTGTGCTCCCATTATGCTTTGCGCGCTTAGAGTTCAAGGTTTAGAGTTTAAGGTTTGCAAAGGACAACCTTTTTGAATTGGCTGTATATAGTAAACACGTTATTTCGTTGTTGCGTTTAGAAGACGTTTTATTATATCATAGGTGTTGACAGAGCTTTGTACATACCATCCTTTCATTGGTCAGGATGAACAGGTTAGAATATTACATCATTTGTTTTCCCAGTGAGCTCAATGCATAACTGAAGTGATATCTATAAGCGATATATATCATCGACACGGTCGATTCTTTAAATTATCAGAGATCGCGGCCAAAATTTGACACCTCAACTTATCTTAACTGGGCATGCGTAGATTGCACATGTTGAGTTGTTCAATTCAAAGTTCATTGAATTTCTCACGGATGAACGGATTTCCCAACAGACCATTGCCCATAGGGGATCCGAAGTACCTACGATTTTAACGTCTTTATCCGAGAAGACGCGAAAGTCTACCATTTACTGATGTCAATGTAAACATAGCTCTTTCTCCTCAATTATTTTAAGACCTTGAGTAGAGGTCCGACCAAGGATTGAACCCGCGTCTCCCAGCTTGAAAGGCAAGCGTGGTGATCAGGACACCACATGTGTAAAATCTTCAGTTTAAATATTAACACAAGTTAATAACTAAACTAACTTTACTTAAAAAATAGAGGATGCGTTGATATACAACGCGATTTCTAGAGCGTTTGAATTTTATCCGGCGGATAGCGATTTAAACGGTGGTTAGCGAGTTAAACGCCTTTGATACAACCGGCCCCAGAAATGTATGTATTGTTGCGTGAATGAAAGTTATATCAGTTCTTTGTAGGTTCGCATGGCGATAAAACATATGGATTATATCAAGTTATATGCCTTCCTGGACCATTAGAGGAGCAGTTTAGACAAAAATCGTCCGAGGGATTTAGTTTAATTAAGTAAAGTTATTTTATTTATTGAACGTTCTCTGACTAAATATTTATTTCTACGAGCTTTCGGCTATCAGCCTATAGCCTTACATCCCTGAAGACGAGAAAGTCCGAACACGTAAGGAGTTATTTCATTTGGTAAAGAACTCTACAAAAGAAGAGAGCGTTCAGAGTCCAGATCGTTTCAAACGGCAATTTAATACCGTCTTCTGTTTCGCTCTCTCAGCGAAGCCTTGTAAATCCAAAGTGTTTCGAATAGGCTTACATGCAACTGCCTCTAAATCTTCACCGCGAAAAGCACTGTTTTCTTCAGTGCAAGAACAGAGTCAACATCAACCAAATGACAATTTTCTTGAGGAACATATAACGTATCAAGTCTGTTTGAAATTAATGAAACTCAAGTAAAGGTTACTATAGTTTACCCGAGTCGTAATGTTGCTATTCCAACACCTCACGACAAGCAATCCCCATTGGCAATAACGCCAAAAACATCTCTTCCTTCAAGTAAACAATAAACAGTCTGTTCTTGTTCCATTTATAATCGAAAAAAGCGATCAATTTTCTAGCCCGCGTGCAGGCCCAAGGGAACTGATAGTGGGCCTGCAAGCAAGGCCCGGTATTTTGTAAAACGCCCCTTTTCATAACACGCCCCATTCGCGCGTCAATTGTCAAAAAAGAACCAATGACAGCACCCAAATATTAACAAACAAACTCGCATTAAAATGTTGCGGGCTTTTCTCTGGGGTTAGGTTAAAACGCGGATGCGGAACGGAACGGATGCGGAACGGATATGCGGAACGGAGCGGATATGGGGTTAAAATGCGGAACGGAACGGATATGCGGAACGGAACGGATATGGGGTTAAAATGCGGAACGGAACGGAAATGCGGAACGGAACGGATATGGGGTTAAAATGCGGAACGGAACGGATATGCGGAACGGAACGGATATGGGGTTAAAATGCGGAACGGAACGGATATACGGAACGGAACGGATATGGGGTTAAAATGCGGAACGGAACGGATATGGGGTTAAAATGCGGAACGGAACGGATATTGGGTTAAAATCCATCTGGTGGACGGGAAATCTGATTGGTTGATCAGCATCATGAAAGATTTTGATTGGTTGCAAGTTCATATAAACAATGGTTTTAAAAATAGCTCTGTCAAAGCGACAATTAAGCCGGTTAAAGACGAGCAAGTTTTCTTTAAAGGGACACTCCACCCCCAGAACAAGTGTCGCTCATAAGAAAGCTTTATATGAGCCTACCTTGGAATGAATATTCGTTCGCCTCAATTCTTTTTCGTTTGCGAGAAATTTAACTTTGTTTCACCGATTTTTCGTCCATTATCGCCGCCATGTTTGTTGAATCCGCGGGTGGTCCTATGACTGCCGTGACGTAAGTGTGTGATAGAAACACTCAGTCTTTGATGTAAACACTATAAATTATAAACAGCTTCGTGGTTCATTTCGGTGTGATTTTGGGTAAATAAATTCTGTTATTGATCGTTTATTCTCTTACTGATCATTTTAAATTATGGCCCGATCGAGTACTAGCAGCTCTTCTGAAGTAGACGAAGGCATATCACCGAATAATGTAAAATTTGAAACGGACGAAGCAAAGTTTTCGCTTCAGCCGTATTTATTCGAACCTACGAAAAAGAAAGGCTCCAGTTACAGCATGCAGGGTCTGTCTTCCATATCACTGTCCCAATATGATGTCGGAAGGAGTTAAGATGATGGTTGTACATTTTTTTAGAACATGAACTCGTATAAAATACACAATTTAATATTATAAATATATGCAGCAAATAAAAATATACACAACATATAAAATGTTATTGAAGTGTTTATGCTTTATTTGTGTCTAATAACGTACAAATGTTCAGAAAGTTAATTCTGCCACAATATGAAAACTACAAAATATAAATTACATAATGTACAAGACTACAAGTTTTTTATACTACAAATACATGCAAGCGTTCATGGCTTGCTTAATACCTCTTGTCTGGCTTGTTCAGAGCGGATTTGATTTCTTCTTCGCCCTGTGCTTCTAGCTTTTTCTGGCTTACCGTGCGCGGAATTATAGATGACACTGCGTCTGATTTTAGCTTTGGCCTTTTTTGGTAGCCAGGCACAAGATCGAGCGTTCTTTCGAAGCAGTCTGGTGTAAAATGCGCCGAACAAATACATGAATTATTTATATCGCGTGGGTTTACTCAGACCGCCAACCACGCTTCTCGCAAACCTTTTTCTTTTGGAATTCTGTGGTAGCTGATTCCCACAGTTTTCTGTGAGTTGTTAGTACACTCAGGAGAACCATGCAATGAGGCATGTTCGGTTAAAAAATATCTAAAAGGAAACTCTAAAGACTAAAGCTTGATTATACAATTTGTTTCGAAGCAAATCTGATTATACAATGTGTTACCATCACACACTTACGTCACGGCACTCATAGGACCACCCGCGGATTCAACAAACATGGCGGCGATAATGGACGAAAAATCAGTGAAACAAAGTTAAATTTCTCGCAAACGAAAAAGAATTGAGGCGAACAAATATTCATTCCAAGGTAGGCTCATATAAAGCTTTCTTATGAGCGACACTTGTTCTGGGGGTGGAGTGTCCCTTTAAGAATCTTTAAAACCCGGAATGAGAAAAGCCGGAATCTTTAAAACCCGGAATTATTACTGTAACTAGAAGTTACTATTGCAAGGAAAGTGCTGCCTCACCGCCCAGGGATCAAGGCAGCATGTCGCAATTTGCTGCCAATAAAGCTTGGTTTCCATTAAATCGTAATTTTCGCAAAAACCGCATCGCAAGCGTCGCAACGATTTAAAAAACGCAAAATTTTAAATAAAAACTGCGATTTATTGGAAACTTGAGTCACGCCAATAACTAAGACTCTTACGACAACGTCGCAAAGATAGACTTACTGCGATTTTTGCGATAACGATGTCTGCGTTCCGCGACTATTGCGATGATTACGATTTAATAGAAACCAGGCGTTTTTAAGGGTGTGTTTATACCCTGACATGTAGTGACACAGCCAGGTGAATATATGAATGTTGGCCAGTAGGATTATTTCATATCATGCTAACAATGGACATATATAACAATGGATATAGTTTTACAGAACGTCGTACCTTGTACAAAAAAAGCCGGTTGACATGTTATTACATGTACCATGTGGCAGTGGTTTCTAGCTGAGCTGAAGAAAAACCACTGCGAGCAAATGAACGATCGTTTGATGTAGCCGCCGTCCAAATTTACGGACGAAACAATAAATGAGAAACTGGTAAAACAAGTTAAACAAGTTTTTGTTGTCGTGCGCATGGGTAAATGCTTGGCACTGCTGGTAAAATGCGAGCCAGTTGTACACTGAAAACAACATCACGTTCTAAATATAGCAACACGCTTAAATATAATACTTTGACTGTCCTTGTCTTTGTACAGAAGTGTACAAATATTGAATAGAATGTGAGAAATTATACATCAAGATGACTTGAAAACCGCATAGAGTTCAAAAGAATAACATAATTATAACAATAAATTCTACACTGCAACAAAAATCAACCTTTTAGAGAAATGTTTTGTAGCGGTTGAGGTCGCAAAAAAATGCAATAATTGTCAAAATCCACAATAGTAAACATATTAATATTTGGAATCTTTTGAAATTGGAATTTACTCTACCGAAAACCTTAACACAATATCCAATGTTTAAATTAAAGTAACACAAATAAAGTTTATAGACCAAATAAAAAAATATTGATCGTATAAACACAAAAATTGAAAAAGATATAACAGAAATTCAAATGTCAAATTTGTAGCGTGAGAAACCGATTTTCAAAAATATTTTAGTATTGGCAGCAACGATATTTATAGAACCGATAGATAAATTGCGAACTGCATGTAGAATAAAAAGTCGTTTGATTAAACTATGTCAAGCTTGTTTACATCTAACAAACTACAGGAGAGAAAGTCAAATTTAAAGTGACGTCACGTTGGTCGCATCACGCGATCTTCGCTAGAAAATCGTTCGTTTGCTCGCAGTAGTTTCTCCTCGGCTCAGAAACCACTGCCAGCAGGGTATATTACATGTAACTGCTGGTAAGTTTACGTGTAGACATCAATCCACACTGGGTTGCTAGTATAGGAATATCTTTTATACATTAAGCCTGATTATTAAGACGTGCATACACAACAGTCCGCGTTTGTTGTTAAAACTTGCTGAAAGCACATTGCTATAAACATCTAGAATGAACAATATACAAACTCATTAT